CGTTCCAGTCCGCGACGTGCTTCGAGCCCGGTCTCGTCTGACCCGCCAGCTCTCCCTCGTCCTTTCCCGACCAGTTTCAGCCATCACCGTCCACTGTGCTCGCCGAAAATAGTCAAAAATGAACCGGTTTTGATAGAACTTCACACCGCTCGATCTCTCTCCTCCAGCCACCATTTCCGACGGGTGAGGTGAGGTTTCTCATCCATTTTCTGAGTTCTAGCTGGCTGTTGCATAGGAATTGATCGATTTGCGGTTTAGAATCTTGATTTTGGAAGTTAGGTTTTGGCCGGTTTTCAATGTGAAATTCCGGCCAGTTCTCGTACGAATTGGACTTGGCCGTAGTTGAAAAAGATGCTTCATTCGTCGAGTAGTATCTAGGATAGGAAGGGTGGCTCGTGATTTGGAGATTTTCCGTCGCCGAAAATTTCTCTACACACCCAAGCGCTGCCGGCGCGTGTGGCGGCGCGTGGACAAGGCTGGTGAAGTTGCTTTTTATCTTGATGAGATCCTTAGGTTGTCACGAGTGCGTAGGATTTTACGGATCTCAATTTGGATGTCATTTGACTATTGAACGGATTTCGCATATTTTGCGTTATCCAGGTTCGATAAGTTCTAACCGTTGGATCGTTTCCAAATTGAAGTATGTTAATCTAGGTACTCTTAGAAACCTATAGGAATTCACGGATCGTGAATCGGAGCCCCGGATGTTCCGATTCAATAATTCGAAGTTTGGGGATTAGCGATAACCGTACGATTGGAAGCGATTCCCAAACCTGTAACTGGACCTTATGATATTCCATTGGACGTACACGCACCGGGAACTTGTGCCCCCCAGGCAGTAGTTGCTCTTGGAAGCGTTCGAGCAGGTTACGAGCTCGAAACATTTCATCCGTAGATAGGATTTGTGTAAATTCCTTCTACTCAACTGTTTGTTGTAAACAAATTCTGTTAGATGCTCTGTTATCGCCCATGTTAGGTTGTTACTTGATGCCGGAGGTCACTTTATTTTGGATTGTTGTATGTTGAAAGTATGCTGGCAGTTGGGATTTATATTATGTAAATTATGCAGGTTGAATATTGTTGGGTTTGAGCATTTTGCAGGGGAGACTCTGCCAAAATTTTGGTAGGATGTCTTGGGTTTTTAGTAAGTGGGCTCGGCATCGGTGTGATGTCGGCACCAAGACGGGGTCCGCCCCGGTTTCAGGGGAAATTCTGGGGTAAGTCCTGTCACTACTATCTAAGCCGAACGCTTACTGGTCCCGAATTAAACTACACGCCTATAGAAAAGACGTGTCTTGCACTTGTTTTTGCTATTCAAAAGTTAAGGCACTACATGCAAGCGTTCACGGTTCATCTAATTGCACGATCTGACCTGGTGAGGTACGTTATATCAAAACCAGTCTTGATGGGGCGTTTGGCCAAGTGGGCGTTACTTCTCAATCAATATGAAATCATATACACTCCAGCAAAGGCGGTTAAGGGGCAAGCTGTTGCAGATTTCCTAGCCGATCATCCAATTCCAACATACTGGGAAATTTCAGATGACTTACCCGACGAACAAGTTTTCTTCACTGACGTTTCTCATGCTTGGATGATGTTATTTGATGGATCGGCTCGTAAAGATGGGGCGGGGGTTGGCGTAGTCTTCGTATCACCCGAGAGACACGTGTTGCCCTATTCATTCTCTTTACGTGAACTTTGCTCGAACAACGTTGCATAATACTAGGCTTTGATCATGGGCTTACAAATGGCTGTGGAGATGAAGATATCGAGCTTAGAAGTATATGGTGACTCCATGTTAGTGATCAACCAACTGTTGACCCACTACGAAGTTAGGAAGGATGATCTAATTCCATTCCACCAAATGGCCACGCAATTACTGGAAAGGTTTGGCTTCGTAACACTGGAGCATGTGCCAAGAAAAGACAACCAAATGGCAGATGCCTTAGCCAACCTTGCCGCTACGTTGGCATTGACAAAAGATGAAGCGGTGAATCTTTCAGTTTGCCAACGTTGGGTCGTTCCATCAGCCTTAGGGGCATCATAAGAAGGAGTCAACGTTATCTCGGTATTGGCCATTAACATTGACGATTGGAGACAACCTTTAATTGATTATCTTGAGCATGAGAAACTGCCAGATGATTCGAGACATCGGTCAGAGGTACGACGTCGGGCACCTTGATTCATTTATTACAAAGAAATTCTCTACTGTCATTCATTCGAAGGAGTATTGCTAAGATACTTGGCCGAAGAGGATGCATTTAAAGCGATGGAGGAGGCTCACTTAGGTATTTGTGGAGCTCATCAATTAGGACCAAAGCTACATTTCCAAATAAAGCGGATGGGCTACTATTGGCCGACTATGGTCAAGGATTGCATGGACTGTGTGAAGAAATGTCAGGCATGTCAGTTCCATGCCAACTTTATACACCAACCGCCGGAGCCGCTACATCCCACAATTACTTCATGGCCATTTGACGCATGGGATCTTGATGTGATGGGACCGATAGCACCCAAATCTTCCGATGGTCATTCTTACATCCTTGCAGCCACAGACTACTTTTCAAAATGGGCAGAAGCTGTACCTTTAAAGGAAGTGAAGAAAGAAAACGTAGTGAACTTTATCAAAGTGAATATCATTCATCGGTATGGTGTGCCGCGCTACATCATCACAGATAATGGAAAGCCATTCTTGAACCGGTTTATGGATAAATTGTGTGAAAACTTCAGTTTCAAACAATGCAACTCTTCAATGTACAATGCCCCAGCCAACGGTTTTGCGGACGCTTTCAACAAAACTCTTTGCAACCTGTTGAAGAAAGTTGTTGCAAGAACCAAGAAAAATTGGCATGAAAGGATAAATGAAGCATTATGGCTTATCGGACGACATATCGGACGCCTACTCAAGCTACACCATACTCATTCATGTATGGTGTGGAAGCAGTCTTGCCTCTAGAAAGTCAAATTCCATCATTGAGGATGGTCGTACAAGAGGGATTGACTGATGAAGAGAATGCAAAGCTACGTCTCCAAGAGTTAGAAGCACTAGATAAAAAGAGACTCGAAGCACAACAACGCTTAGAGTGTTATCAAGCTTGGCTTTCGAATGTTTTTAACAAAAAGGTTCGCCCCAGGTCTTTTCAAGTAGGAGATCTTGTCCTCGCATTACGTAGACCTATCATCACAACACACAAAACCAGAAGCAAGTTTGCTTCTAAATGAGATGGGCCCTACGTAGTACAGGAAGTATACACAAGTGGCGTTTGCAAGATCGTAGCCGAGGACGGTTTAAGAGTCGGCCCTATCAACGGAAAGTTCTTGAAACGATACTACGCATGAAATGACACCAAGCTCCTGGCCCGTATGAGCCTAAACTACGTATGGCATCAAAAAAACAAAAACAAAAACAAAAACAAAAAAAAACAAAAAACAAAAAAAGGCTCGTTGGATTGAAAACCCGAAAGGGCGGTCCAAGCAAAAGTTAGAGCACAAAAAAAGGCTCATTGGATTAAAAACCTGAAAGGGCGGTCCAAGCAAAAGTTAGAGCACAAGAAAGTCCGTTGAACTGAAAACCCGAAAGGGCGGTTCAAGCAAAAGTTAGGACATAAAAAAAAATCTCTTGAACTACGTGATGTCTTGATCCCTTTTCACTGAGGGTACGTAGGCAGCTTGGACAAATAATTCCAAGTTTAGTCACATCAAAATAAAAACAAAGGGTTTCCCCCATCAATTCGAGTCATTCGAAAAAATAATGAAATAAGAAAATGCTTTATTTCATTATGATAGTTAACTAGCAAACATCAACACTGTGACAAGTTCAAAGAGAAACATAGACGAAACAAAGAAAGTTTACAACAACAAAGTTTGCTATTCCGAAGACAAGTCCTTGAAACCGTTACGCAATCTCTCAAAAGAAACTCGTAACGCATCTAAAGTCTCAGCATCGGTAGTGGATAATACAGGAGCTTCTTCAACTGCAATCTTATCCTCTCTCAAGCGGGCCACCTCACCATGATGATAAGAAAGTTGTGCATCACTCTTTGAAAGTGATATAACCATTATTTCGTACATTTTAATTATCTTTCTCTTAGATTCTTGCTATGTTCTTGAGTGAGTTTAGCCCATTTTTACTTAGTTTTGTGTTTTACTAGGTTTGAAGGATAAAGATGGAAAAGCAAGCAACAGTAGCAATTTTGGAATTGAAATTTAATGTGCAATCCTAGGAGCAGAATTTCCTGTGCAGATCAGTCAACTTGACAGAATATACTGTACTTCCTCAGACCGAACCAGATGTTGAGCCTTATATCGTTGGAAAGATATGGATGTTCGCTTTCTGTAAAATTTTACAGTTTGTGATTCGGACATGTATGGAGAGAGTTGTGGCCATTTTAGTACAAACAGTTAAGGCAGAATGTGTTCTGCGGGTTTAGCAAAATATTCCTTTTCAAGTCCAATCCTTGGAGTCCAATTTATGTCAATTGCATTTGGAAAGTGTCTACAAGGATGTGGAGTTATTTTCTGAAGTCTAATCCTTTATCTAGTAGGATTCTGGATGCCAACTCATGGAAAGACAATTAAAGCCAAACTAGGAAAGCATAGTTACCAAGTCAAAAGAGGATTTGTTCCTTATTTAAAGAAGACCAGAAAATAGGGTTTTCTTATGCTGGAATTTAAAGAAGAGTCAAAGAGCCGTTGCCATCGTCAAGTTCTCAATCATCATCACAATCCATAAGTTTTATTTTATGTTTTCTAGTTTTTCAATTATGTTTTCTTTGAACATGAGTAACTAAATTATTCTCTAGGGTGAGGATGACGCCCGAGTATGGATAGTTATGATTTCTAATGTTATTTAATGGATTCTAAGTTTCTTTTAGATGAATGTTTAATCACTATTTTAATTGTTGCTATTTGTTTAGGTTCTTTGATTGATCACCTTAGGGCTTTGCATATAGTAAATTGGAAGATGAATTTAAGGCAGAACTTGCAATATAATTCAATTAGCTTCTTGTGATTAAGTGTGGTGAATTACATTATTGCTTGACGAAGAATAATGGTTTGCTTGGTTCCCTCATTTTCTAGAACGTAATGAATTCAACTTGTTAAATTTATGCCTTAACCAGGATAGATTGCAGGATTGGATATATGATCTTTGTCTGAACTAGAAAAGAATCTTACACTTAAGGAAAACTATGGTCTGAGTGCCTGAAAAGAACTTAGATACGGGAATTATCATCTAAAGAATTGAAAGAATATGTTGAATGCATTGAAATCTAACTTGGATTGCTTGTGGTTGATTCTGAAACCCTAGACCTTCATCATTCTTTCTCAATCTTTAAAAGTCAACGTTTTAATTCTTAATTGCCTTGATTAATTTCTTGGTCGTTTCATAAACTTTCACAACAGCAATCTCTACAAATTTACTTGCGTATCAGTTAGATTTAATTTAGGTATTCGAATATTAGATTAATTTGGAATCCTCGTGGGAACGATACTTGGACTTGTCAAATGCTATACTACATCAATCTTGTGCACTTGCAAGGACATACCAAGTTTTTGACGCCGTTGCCGGGGATTCCTAAATTAATTTAACATTTGGATTGACAAACCAGCAAAGAAGTCTCCAGCTAAAGACAAACCAGCGAAAAAAAAAAAGAAGCAAAGAGGTTTTGGTCTTCGAGAAACAGCCACGCCATCTCAAGTGAAGAGTTCCAAACCCAATTGATTTGGGTTTTTGTCTTCCAACCATTTAAGCATACACACCACAGCTCCAGACACTTCAATTGGAGAATTTCAAATGCTTCACGCAGCTGCCCCACCCATCAATTGGAAACTCCTTTCCCCAATTGGAGAGCTCCAAACCCATCAAAATCAGGCTTTTGTGTTTCCTTTTTCTCCATTCAAATTTTATTCTCCTAATCCTGTTTGTGTTGCCATTTAAAATCGTGTTTTTTTTCAGGTGCAGCCAATAACATCCAAAGAGGAAACCAACAAAAATTAGGGCTGCTCAACAAAAGGAAATAGGATAACTCTTCTCATGCAGCAGCTCTTAGTTCCAATTGGAGAACCCCATCGTGCTCAGCTCTCATCTCCAATTTGATTTGGGTTTTGTTGATTTCCTACTCTAATTGTAGTATTATTCTCTTATTTAAACAACTCTTTGCTATTGTTTCATGTACAAACACCTAATTTCTGAAAATTGTATGCAAGGGAGGCGTTCTCTCAAGTTGGAGTTCATTCCCATTGATCAAGAACTTGAGCGTACAATACGGAAACATCGAAGGGAGAATTTTTCACCAAGACCAGCCATGGCTAATCTAGTCAACAATGGTGGAGATGACCCACCACCACAACAAAGGCTTTTAAGGGATTACACTACACCAACGGAGTACAATGCACCGTCGTGCATCGTCTTGACTCCAATCACACAGCGTTTCTAAATTCGCCCAACAACTATCCAACTTCTACCTAGGCCCGCTACCGTTCGGTAGTCCCTGCACAGACATGGGTTCCATTGGCAGCTTGCAAGCTACCGATTTCAGAGCAATGGCATAGCACGTCTGTGCGCTGAGCTGGTCACCCCGGATAATGCCAGTACCGTTGCGGGTAGGAAATTTCATCAGCAACATATGGGGGGACAAGTGGGCTTTGACTATGGTGAGTGCTGTTCGCCCTATGATGACGTTGTATGCCGTTGGGCAATCGACGATGAAGAATTGATCATAGATCATCGTTTTCCTGGGGGCGACGCCGAAGGCGATGGGCAGACTGATACTGCCGACTGGCTGGACCAAATCCCCAAAAAAACTTAGGAGAGGCGTTACCTGCCGATTGAACATACTGTCGGCAATTCCCAGCCCTTTGAAGGCATCGGCAAAAATCACATTTACTGAGTTCCCGGTGTCAATCAGCACCTGACCTACATCGTAGTCTGCGATTTCGGCCCGAATGATCATTGGGTCATCGTGAGGGTAAATGATCCCTTCTTCCTCTTCTTCGCAAAATGTGATGGGCTCCCATCCCACCTTCGGGACCTTGCGGCACCGATCA